CAGACATTCCGGAGACATACAACAGACGTCCTCTAAATATTTATCCACAGGACATCTTCAAAATGTTTTATTTAATGTAAAGAACATATCAAAGCTCGAATTTCAAATGTTCATGATGTATATCAGAAATATATTAAACATACATAATATTGAATTTTGTAATTCAGTCTCAAATATGTCTTTCGGATGTTTTATAGATGTCCTATTGCAACTAAAAAAAAGCGGAACGCCCTCAGACGTCCTTCGGACGTTAGGATATAACCAGAACATTTGAGGACATACATCGAACGTCCAAAAGACGTTCTTGTGTTGTGTGGATTGTGCTCTTAATATGAAATGCACCGAGATAGATAATAAAACGCAAAGTATTGCAATCAAAAAACTTAAATTTATATAATGTTTCTAAAATACAAATATAAACAGCCAGTGTGCGCTTGCATTGTATCCAGGACTCTTCAGTATAGTTGGAACCAAGCATTGCAGAAACAGGCAATCGATTTTTGTTAATTCCGTTTATTATTATATATACAATAACATTTAGGGACTCCGCATAATAAAAGAAATAGAGAACAGAGAATAAGAATTTCAACCTATCAAAAACTATGTATTCCACAATACATGATTTCTGATAGGTTAAAATTCTTATTCTTTGTTTTGTTCCCTATTCCTTTTATTATGCGGAGCCCCTAATTCTCTATTCTCTGTTCCCTGTTCTTCTTATTGTGCGAAGCCCCTAAGGCTGGGTTCACACCTCGGAAAAGCGGAAGCCAATCGGAACTCGCAGTAGTAGTAGACAATACATTCTGCTTGTCTGCTTCTGTCTTTCTGCGAGTTCTGATTGGCTTCTTACATTCTTACCCCCCCCCCCTCCGCCGGATCAAATCCTCGATGTAAACTAGGCCAATTAAGTGGAATCAAGATGAATGAGAATACCTATAGTGTGAACAAGGAAATTTGTTATAAGAAAAGCTTTATTTGTAGAAAATAAACATTAATTAATAATTTTATATAATGAATACATTCTGTTTTAATATAAACAAATTCGCATGTATTCTTGATTTTAGAAGTTAAAGTTTTCTATACGAATACTTTTTGAACATTCAAACAATTCAATTTTTAATTTTCTCTTATTTTTTGGATATATTTTGTATAATTAATATCATGATTTTGGTATATATAATTTTAAGAAACATACAGTCTATTTTATTCTTTATGAATAAATTGTTAATTATCCAACAAGAAATGATCGTCAATTAAATTTTGAATCAACGTCAAATTGATATTAAAATTATTGAATTTATATCGATTTGACATCAATTTGATGACTCATTTCTCACTGGGTAATATTTTCTTTTTAAAAATAAAGTTTTTTTAAAAAATATTTTTTCTGTACAAATACTTTTTGTACAGTCAACTGTTGAGTTTGCTGAACACAGCCAATGAAATTTTAATCTTTAATCTCAATCTTCAATGCATAATCTGATTCCGGCCTAAGAGTCTGTGCTTCTCATTTAGGGTCGCGACACAAACTTTTGCATAACGCATAATATGTAGTGCATAAGCGAATCAATCAATTAAAATCTTTTCTTTTCTCCTATTTCATGGAAAAGAAGAATTTTGATTAGATGATTCTTTTGATCTATGCATTATGCATTATGCATGAGTCTGTACTTCCCGTAACGATCAATATAAACGCTTTCTTATGCGACATTCATAGACAAAGGCCTAATTTTCATCGAAGATTTAATCCGGATCAGAATGTAAGAATCAATCAATTACAGTTCAATATTCCCTTGTCGTTCGACTGTAATTAAAGCACTAAAAACGTCGGTATTCGCGTCCATCATTTTTATTCCTTTTCCCATTCCTTGCTCTGTCCCCATTCCATCACTGAGCTGTGACGGATTATAATCATTACAGATTATGATTTGTATTTGCTGCTTGAAATTTGTAGCTCCTTTTATTTCATTTTTACTCTTAAAATCAGTTGAATATCTATCGTAATATTAGTGCAGGATCTGAAGAGTGTTTGACGTTCAGGTTATTTCTAGATAAGGTGCCAAATATGTATGTCAATTTGCAGAAAAGGATTGAAATTTCTCATCTGCGAGGAAATATAGTAATGTTTATTCACAAGTCAGTATTTATTTTACAGCAATACAATATAAGTTCTCAACGAATATTATCCGTAAGAAATTTAAATAATCGAACCTTTTTCTGATCTATTGATACAGTTTACCGCAACAAGACATTTATAAATTTTTTTTGCCTTCGTTTTCAGTTTTTTTATATCCTTCTTTTCATCTCTTAGTCTTATGATAAAATTTCGAAGTGCGGAAATACATAAATACGAAGTTACAAGGTTTCCAACAGCTTAGAAGCTACAACCTATAACAACGTAACAATCATAACCTTCTCAACTCAGCGGAATGGGAAGAGCAAAGAATGGAGGAAGGAGTAAAAATGGTGGATATGCGAATACTCACGTTTATAGTGCTTTATTGTAACAAGGAATATTCGACTGTAGTTGATTGGTTATATTATTGGTTCTTACATTTGGATTAAATCTTCGATGGAAACTAAGCCAGAGACAGCAAAAATTTAGAGAAAGACGCTTGCAAACTGGGTACCTATCATGGAAAATGTCGGAATAAATTTCGATCGGAATTATTCTATTTTCTCTAGAAAACAAGATTTGTTCGCGTCACATACTTCAACATGCTCCAACATGTTCCTGCCATAGTTCCCACTGTAACGAGTGTATTGGAATGAGTAGGAGGAGCTATGATAGGAGCACATTGTATCATGTTGGAGTATGCGACGCGAACAAATCTATAATGAAAATCTAGGGAGTAAATAATTCCGAAAAATCCATTTCGATCTTGTTCCATGATAGGAATCTTGAGCACACTATGGCGGTCGATTTGGACGCTCGCGCTTTAAGCGTTTGTAATCATCATTCTGTTTTTATTCATAAAATAAGAATAGAAGAACTGAAAACGATCGCAGCCTATGTTATCCCTTCCACTATACTATATATCTAGTGTCTCATATACATTTGAAAAGTTCAAGATGGCTGAGTTTAGTCATTTTTCATTGGCCAGCAAAAATGCCTGCGCAATAGTATATCTTGTTACTTCCACCATGGTTGTAGTTACGTTTTGGAACGCATCCCTGCAGGCTGCATGGCCGTCGTGACTTCGTCACTTGGTTTGTGTTACGACAGTCGTGCCACGTATTTTTGCTATTTGAGTCTTTCGTAAAATCACACTTTCGACAATTGTTTTAATGTCTTTTACTTGTTCATCTCGAGTGACCTAAGAAGCTTTTTCGATAGATATGGGATCTTCTCAAAGCGTGGAGATACCGGGAGGCGGTACAGAAGGTTACCATGTATTGAGGGTAAGATGACCTGTCAAGAGTAATCACCCAAAGTATTGTTCACTTTTATAAAATTGTTTTCTTACAAAGACTGCAGAGAACAATAATAAAACTTTTTAGAAGATATATTTGAATAGCACTTACGTTTTTATAAACAAATTAAGTTATTCTCTGTGACCCAATTCACAAAATTTAACATATTGACTATGAGGAATGTCATTCGTGATTTGTCATTGCTTGACTTTATTATTTTACCTTGCAAAAGATATTCTAGATTTATTTAAATAATTTTTCAATGATTTCGTGAACATTTAAAAGCAAAAAGAAAATATAAGATGTAACATTTAATCATGTTTTTATTTAGGTATTTTTTAAAATCTAAAATTATTGGTTTATCAAAATAAACCCATTTTTTTAGAATTGAATAATTTAATATTAAATTGTATTTTATCTATCCTTGTTATAAAAAAATTAAGAAATCTAAAAATAAATATAAATATGACTTGTATATCTCATGGCTTACATTATATTCTAATTATAAGCTTATTATAATTGATCTCATTAGTATGTAATTTATTAATTGCTAATGTAAAGGATATAGTAAGAAAACAAATCTTTATACTAAATACATATTAAAAATATATCTTCAATATACACAAAAATTATAATATTGACAAATGTTCTGTGTCTTTTTTGACAGGTTCAAGAAGGTTCTCCTGGGCAGCAAGCAGGACTAGAAGCATTCTTTGATTTTATAGTGGCAATTGGCAATACTCGTCTGGTATGTTTACTTGTAGTTTCTGCTGTAATAAAGTCAATAAAGATATATATTTTATATAATTACAATAATTATGTTACATTCCTATTTAAAAAAGCTACATATATATTCTTTTTAGGATCAAGATAATGATACTTTGAAGGAACTTCTAAAGGTTGGTGTAAATAAGGAATTAACAATCACAGTGTATAGTAGTAAAACACAGTCTGTAAGGCGAACAAATATTGTGCCGAGTATGACATGGGGTGGACAAGGTTTATTGGGTGTCAGTATACGTTTCTGTTCATTTGAAGGCGCTAATGAAAATGTTTGGCATGTACTTGTGAGTGTGAAGTTCATATATAAACCTCAAATTAATTCTGTATAGCAAATTATAGTGAAAACGTATTGATATTTGCAGGAAGTACATCCATCATCTCCTGCTGAACTAGCCGGTTTACGGCCATTCACTGATTATATTATCGGAGCAGACTCCATTCTCCATGAAAGTGAGGATTTATTTACTTTAATAGAGGCGCACGAATCGCGACCTCTCAAATTGTATGTATATAATACTAAAAATGATTCCTGTAGAGAAGTGACTATCACACCTAATAATACTTGGGGTGGAGAAGGAAGGTACATAGTTTCTCATATAGTAGATCCAATAATTGAGATATTAGATAATGAGATTTAGATAATGAGAATATAGATATTAAATTCTTATGGATGTATTTAATAGTTTGGGATGTGGAATTGGATATGGATATTTACACAGAATACCAGTCAGAAGCGTACCAGAGCAGAAATCTACTAATTCATATGTGGTAAAAAGTTGCATTATATAATGTTTTTGTATCAATATTTGAATAATCTAAAAAAATGTATGTATGATTAACAGCATTATAATAGATAGTAGTTTCATAAATTCAGAAACTGCTACACTATATTATTACACTTATATTTAATCGCGCGCGCGCGCGCGCACACACACACACACACACACACACACACACACACACACACACACACACACACACACACACACACATACACATACACAACGAACAATATTTTTATTTTAGAATATTTCTATGAATATTTCCTTTTCAGAATACTGTAATGCAAACTCAATCAGCAATGACTGCTACCGTTACTGTGGCAGAAATCAATCCGATTGTCAGTACACCACCTGGATTAATTACGCCGAATTATACTGTTTCGACGGATAGTTCGATACAAAATTTAAAAAGCGAACAAGAAGCTATATCTGCTCAAAGTATATCTGGATCTGGATCAAAAATGCAAATGCAACCAGCAAATCAAGTCAATTTCATTGGTACTGTTGGTGGCTATACATCTGTCAGGTCAGGACCTCATATGTTTTCGAATCAGCCCACCACCAGTTTTACATCCAGTAAGCACAGATTTTATATAATTTTTTTGTTTGTTTTATATATATTTACATATTTGTTTAAATAAAAATTTTAAAAAATTTAAATTTGAAAATTAAGAAAGAATTGTTATTTGGAGATAATCTTTTTCAAAAATAAATTGCTGATTGTTTCTATTGCAAATTTTTTTAAACATCAAAATCTTTGTGGGATTTTCAGCAGAATGACAGATTTTATAATATTTTATAGCGCTTATATATAATCGTATATAACATTTAATTATTTAAATCATTCCTAATTCACCTACTTAATTGTTTAGGCACTTGTCCAATAACTCCAAACATTCCTGGTATGCCAACTGTTACGGGGTTATCATCAAACGTTATCCATTCTTATGAAGCTTCAACACCATCTGGACCAATTAATGCTCCAGAACAACAGAGAGAGCAAAATTCTGTCCATAATACAACCACAATCAATGTCCCAATATTGTCGAGAGAGCAAAATCCTATTCCTAATATGAATACAACTGCTGGCTTTAATATGGCTCACGTTGTAACGACACCTATATCACTGCCAGGAATGCCACCTATCACAGTCACCGCCTCTCTCCCGCAAGACACTTCCTTCTATCCATCTGTTCTTCAACAGCAAAATCAATTACCATCCAGTATCAACACTACTGTTGCTCCGACAATGACAACGTCCACACAGTAAGAAACTTTTAAAAATAAATGGAAGATATAATTTTCACTTTAATAAAATATACTATTAAGCATACCAGTTAAATAAAATCGAATTTTTTGTCTATTCTAAACTGTCAGAGACAAGAGAAAATGAATTAATAAGACTAAGAATGATATTTATAATTATTTTTTGGTGAATGTTTTTTATTTATATGTATGCATATATACAATATATATTAAGTATATTTGAATGTATATACATGTATACATGACATAAACTTATTGTTCACCAAAGGAAGATTATAAATGCCTTCCTAAGTTTTATTTCTTTTCATAAATATTGAGAATGTGATGTGCATAATACATTTTTAATGTACTAAAGAGAATAATAATGTAATATTGTATATAAATAAAATAATTGCAAAATCCTAATTATATAATATTATTGCATCATAATATTATTGCATCATAAAAAATTGTCATATTAACTTTCTGTGTATTATCTATAATTTTAATTACAATAATTAGTACACGTGTTAATGAATATAAATACTTCTGTATCCAGACTATTTTCTTTTGAGGACTGTAAAACTGTGAATTACCTTTTTTCAAATAGATAAAGAATTTCAATCTGCATAAAAGCAGTATTTATTATATGCTATCTTAAATTAATATAACAAGTACTAGATGGCTATAGATAGGCAGTAATAACACTCAAAGTTTAATCAGTGTTATCCAGACATACTTTTTAAATGATAATTTCTGTATCACCTAGCTCTTCGTCAGTTGGCAGTATTATCTTTGATGCATCAATATAATTGGGACTAATAGGAGGAAGTCCATGTTCCTCTCTATAACGGAGTTGCAGGTAAGCTTCTCGTTGTGCCCAGTCCTTGCCTCTGACATCAGGTAAATAAGCCATGACGGTGCATCCAATCACAAAGACTATGCTTACACAGACAAACATGGTCTGGTGCAGAGCATGACGATCTTCTATTTCATTCTTGTGACTGAAGCCATAACTCACCCACTTCCTCTTGACAGGCTTCGTCTCTTCCTTGATTCCATCGTGACGATTCGATGTCGTCGCTATCCTACGATATATTGTCTCCTTGGGTGACATTAGAGCTAAGCCCTGACGCAAACTCTGCATGCAATTCATGCGGAATAACGCTGCCATCATTCAATAAATATTCTTATGTTCTGCTGTGAGATAATTGTCACAAGGATTTGTTTGAGTGTCAATCACGTTGTGTATCAAGTGAACTGCGTGTACTGAATCCAGAGAGAAAGAAATTAGATAATATTCGGTAATTATACAATTTAGCACTAACCATCTCAAAAATCAATAAAATTATTTATTCGACGCGTATGAAATGAAAGAATCTGGCAGAAAAAGCTCTGTCGACTATGCCGCCCGAACAAAAAATTATATATCTTACTCGTTTGATTGTCTAATCGCCTAGAAGTTACAGTATAGACAGTGTCCGCTTCGAATATTTCTAACTCATGAAGTGAGGTGTGAGAATAGTCTTTTTAGAGTGATCTTTTTACTGTTACTCTAGGCTGCAACTTCTAGGTAAGTAGGCCTCAAATGGGTAGGATATGTTATTTTTTTTATTCGGAACTATGTTGCCCCGAACAACAAGCATTAGACTTGTACTCCACTGTTATTCCATTACTCCATTAGACACTCCACTGTTTACGTGACGATTAATGATCGTGTTACGTAGTAACACCTTAGTTAACTTTAACGCCAATATCTCTGCTTCGCAGAGAAGTCCCAGACTTTTTTCTGCCAGAGTCTTTCATTTTTTATGCAAAAACGCATCGAATGAGCCTAATTTCATCGAAATCGGAGGTAGCTTTTCTGAAAAATTATCTTCATTTTGTCCTGTGACAGATTTTCTAACCTCAATAGTTGTCAACTTTAACGCTTAATATCTTGATTCGCGGGTGACACTTTTTCTGTCAGATTCTTTCATTTCATACAAAAACACATCGAATAAGCCTAATTTTATTAATTTTTGAAGTGGTAAATATTAAACTGTATGATTACCTAATATTCCTTCTTTTTTTTCTTCTTTTGATTGGCTCTGCAACCAGTACTGGTTGGTATTAAGCCATTGAGTGTCCGCCTTGTTAGAGGTGTATGTCCGTTTGCAAATGAAAAAATTGCTTGTGAAATTTTAGAAGTGGGGGAAATTGTCCCCCCAAACCGAGCGACTGCTGCCACCTAGAGATAGTCGCACATCATGAAAGAGGGAGAATATCAAAAGAATAAATCAGAGGCCTTCATAAAGACTATAAGGAGTCTGCATTTGGGATGAAATGAGAAAGGGCGAGGGAAATGTCTTCAGGGGATGCAGGAAATTTAGGCAGTAATTTTGAAGGGGAAAAAATTTGTGACTATAAATACTATAAATACATTGGAAAATGACATGGTTAATATCTTGTATATCAGCTCCACAGGGACACGCTGGAGAGTCCCTATTATTCACTCTGTAGAGGCTACCATTGAGGTTGTAATGGTTAGATTTGAGGCGATTAACCACGATCTCTTTCCTGCTTAATGAAGTTTTGTCGAACCAAGTCTTAGTGGATTTCATGGGAAAGTGTTCATGATGAAATGTGCCTTTGTATTTGACTGCTGAATTCAGATAGTTTGCAAACTGTATTTCCAATTTCTTAATTCAATGAATATGTCCTCATACTCTGAAGACCGGGGAGCGTCCTTCCATAGAAGCCTGTTTGGTAATTTTGTCTACCTTCTCGTTTCCTAGGATACTTGAATGAGACAGGACCCCAAAAAAACGTGATTTCTATTCCCTCTTTTGAGGCATTCAGGATATTTTGTCTGATATAATAAATAATGTAGTTATTCTATATATTATTAATTTTATTTATTAATTTATTCTATATATTATTATTATTATATTTTCCGCAT